ACTAAGTGGGAGACTTGCCAGGAAAGATGTGGCAGGAGGCAGGTAAGCGAAGCGGCGTCAGGACACGGCAGGGAGCGGAGCCAATTTGCAGCCGGTAGGCGAGCGAGGCTCGGTCTCGCTTGCAGGAAGTGGACCCCTCTTCCCTGCGGGATAGCACGGCGAGCGTTTGTACACTGCATTCAGGTGGCAGGACCCGCGGCCGCCGCCTCTCTGCGACGTTGCGGCGACCAGCCTCGGTATAACGCCATGAACGTGCGCACAGTAGCCTGTGCACGATCGACAATTGAAGGTGAAAGTAGAATATCTGCTAGAAGATGGTATCACTGCATCGAGTCGGCGATGTGCTACTGCAAAGTAGGCCGGGAATACACGGGCTCAGAGGGCTCAGCGGGCGGCAAAGGGGGCGTGAAAGACGGTCGAAGATTTCCCATGACAGAACGAGCTTCGATTTGACGTCTGCAGAGTGGGCGAGCGACGGCGATAAGTGTTCGCATTGGCAGCGGACTGGACTGGGCGTGCCTTTGATTTTGCGCGACGACGGCTCGGCATCGGTGGCGGTACTGGTCAAAGGGCCGGTACGGATGCGCGAATCCCGAGACAATGCAGACTGCCGATCCATGGATGTCGGGGTGAGGCGACAAGGTGCCGTGTCAGAGAGAGGCTAACAGTGACAGAGCTGGCCGCTTTGTCCGCACCAACATCAATGCCTCATCTGGAGCGAAGAAGTGCTGGTGTCTCACACCGCCGAGCAGCTAGCGGTCAGCTCCGCTACTGTGGTGCTACTGTGGGAGCGTAGCCGATCCTGCATGCATCGAGTAGAGCAGCACCATGGTCAGCAATGCACCTTGGCACAGGTAGTTGCCGCTACCCGCGGCCCTGCTATGCAATGCAGGCCGTGCACCGTCGAGCAGCTTGCACGAAACCCGCCTGTTTCTTTTTTGCTTTGTGCGTATGAAAAAGAAATTCGTTAAAAAATTGGATAGACCCAGAAGAGGCTAATGATGCTCAGCGATGCCTGTGGCTCACCCAGATTTTAAGCGTAGGAGCTATTTCAGGCCGGAGAGCAGGCGCATCGCGGTGGTGGTGCTCGGCGTGGCAGCAGCTCTAGCATGAGATCGTGCAGATGCCGCCGCCTCGTTCCAACTCGAGCTGCACCTGAACGGATAGTGTCGAAACCGGCTTGCTAGGCTGGAAACTGCAACACGTGCCCGGCAGAAGTGTCGATAGCTCTGGTCTTTTGTGCGAGCTAGCGATACGACTGCGAACCGCATGGGCGCCGGTATGGCGATAAGCATATGATCTTGCTGACATTTGCTCGTCATCGAATAGAATAAACGATAGCGTGTCAAGACGACGTCGACTAGGATCGTGAAAGCGGCTCAAGCCGGAACGGACGATGCGCCTCCGCCTATTTTTACCGAACCAAGCGTGGGAACATCTCTTTATACTCTGTTGGCATATAGCGCTGACGTGTTTCCGTCTGCTTGAGAGAGTCGTGTGTGATGGTGTGCTGCTCGTCCGGCTCACGATTCAGCAAATCAAAATTGTATCGCTGCACGGTGATTGGCGTCGAGCGTGCGGTGAGTGACAGCGTGACAGATTTGTGCATTTGATCCTTAGCGGCTCGGGTAGAATTTGGCGAATCAGAAAATCAACGCCGAGCGTTGGTAGCGCTGCTCGCTCTTCGATCCGAGCTGCAGCGCCCAAACCACTTTGCCAAGTTTTGAGACACCGCACCAAACAAGCAGCACGAGATATGCGAGCCTAACGAAGAGCCGCACACCTGCCCTCCTTGACGACGCCACCCCACTTTTACCGTCTGCACCTGCATGCCATACCGACCAGCGCCCTTCTGCTCCTCGCTTTGATCCAGTCTGGACGCTCGCATCGGGGTCGCGTCCAACAACTGCATCCAAACTGGACCCGATTCAGGTCTGCCTCGCCTTGGCCGTGCCCCAGCCCCTTCCGGACCCTGCATCCAACTGACTTTTTGCGTTTGAGCCGCTCACAGATCTTGCTCGCTCTCATCCACCACCAACGCCGCCACCACCACTCACAACTTAGAGATACGCCCACTTCACCCTTTTCAACATGTCCACGGACGACAATCAGCGTTGGAGCCAAGTCTCTCCGGACCTCGCCAAGAGGCCGCTCGTCGGTGTCGAGAAGGTGCTCAACTACACAGAACACTATCAAGACGGAAATGTACGTGCATACGTCCCAACAGTCGCGAGCTAGACGATCGTGCATACTGATTTTGACCCACGATCGATTTTGTGCCTACATCGACCTTGCAGTTCCAACTCACGATCGCTCTCCTCTTCGAGACAAGCATTGCATCAGAGACTCTGTGCGAACGCTTCCCACTTGCCCTTTGGTCCGTTCGCTCTCAGCTGCCAGAGCTCGGGACCTGGACAGTGACCAACGACCAGAGTGCGGAGCTTGACCTCGATCATGCGCTGTGGCAGCCCATCCGATCGCTCGAACAGGCTCAACAGTGGCTTCATGACACCGCCGTCGTCGCCAACGATGGCACCACTGTTCAGCAGATGGTCGATCGCCTTTCTAACCGTCGCATCGAGCCGGTCGGCAAGCAGTTCCGCGTATACCTCGTTTGCGATCCGCTCTACGGAGCTCCCGGTCTCATTGTCAATGCTTCCCACGTCCTCAACGGCCATCGGGCGCTCTTCCAGGGCGAGATGATCTTCCAGGCGCTTCTCGACCCGCGCATCACCGGAACCTTGAGGCAGCACCCAGACTCCACGTCTGCGCTCGCGGCCATCTTCAAGCCTGAAGAGCTGTCCGAATCGCTTCCGAAGCTTCCGCAGAGCCTCAACACCGCCTATGCGGACAAGTTCCAGCCGGGCGCATCGGAGATCGCAGCGGGCTTCCATAAGGTTGGTGAGAAGCTGGCCAACGGTGCTCAGCCGTCGATCGGCATTCCTCGATTCCAAGTTCCAAGCGGAACGCCTGCATTTTCTCTGGGAATGCACGACGGCACGCCAATGTCGATGCTCAACCTGCGATCTCGAATCAAGGCGGCGGACAATCAGAGCCTTAAGCGCGCCTGCAAGAAGTACGGAGCGAGCGTACCTTCGCTCGTGTATGCATGCATTGTGAACAGCATCGATCGACACTGCGGGTCGAGCACGGGCTCTGATGGCGCTGCGCTGGGTGCCAACCTTGCCTACTCTGCGCATGCAAGTCGATGGATGCCGGCGGAGACGTTCATGGAGCGCTCGCCAGTCAACATGGCGATTGTGCTCGGATCGGGATACCTCTCTCCCGAGGAGCTGCATCCAGGGCAGCGCGGAAGCGACCTGGGCGAGGCGGGGCTTTTTGCACTCGCGCGCACGATTCGCCAAAAGCAAGACGACTTTCTCGACACACCACACATCATTGGTGCCATGCCGGATCTCGGAGAGCAGGTTTCGTCGCAGCTTGCCGAAGCGGCCGAGCGCCAACGAGAAGCAGGGACTGACTGGCGCTTAGCACTCTCGGAAAACTCGCCGGCGGTCTGCCCTCCTACACTAACTTCGCAGGGAGTCATCCCCGTCAAGCGATTCTACACGGCCCAGGGTGCCTCGAACAAGCTGCAGCTGGGGCAGCCTACGGAGGAGTACCTCGAGTTTGTCGACATTTGCTCGGGTGGCAGAACCACGGATGCCTCGGTGTGCTTTGCCATGTTCACCCACGCCGGTGCTTTGACGCTGCAGGCACACTTTGACTCGCATTTTTTCGACGCCAAGCTCGTCCGCAACATCTTGGACGATGTAGTGTCGCAGCTGCGTGCTGCTGCTGCATCTGCAAGCCTCACCAGTCTTGACCAAGCCAAGCTCTAGCTGCCGTTGCGATGTCTCTCCCGCGAGCTTAGACTCGGCTCCGTCGGTTTCTTGTTCAATTTTACTGGCAAGTCTTCAGTTTGACCATTGTGATGCGATGTGGGACTAGCGTCGTGCCTAGCCTGAGTTTGTGTGGGAGCCAAACACACCCGGAATCCCACCTGCCCACGCCAATGCAGCGGGGGCCGAACTGTGAGCATCTCCGGCGAAGCCAAAGCCCTAAATTCATGGACCCGCTTGTTTTGATTAATAAATAAATAAATAAATAAATACATGGCCGTGCATGATGGAAGTCGGGCTTTGATGCCTGCTATACTGTATGCCGAGGTGCACGGGATTTTTCGGGTGTTGTGCTGCAACAATGCTGGAGTACCCTATCGTGGCGCCACTGGTACCGCACTAGCGAAAATCTCCGACCGCCACAGTCTAGTGCAGTGCACGGGCTTGTGTGGCGGCTCCAGCCACAGGTACCGTTCCTTTCATCCCCCTGCGTTCAGCCCGCCACACACTAGAATGCTAGAAGCGGCTCGAAGAAGAGCCCCTGCACTGGATCCGATGTCGGAGGTCCAAAATACCGCCCGTGACGGAGCGAAGAGTGAGCGCAACTGCAAAACGGACCGCGAGCACGCTTCCGTCGGCTGTTCGAATCGGACATCCCTGCAAACCTGTTGCAGAGAGTCGGTTGGAGATGAGCCGTATAGATAGAGATTTGTTTCTGGTCCCGACCAGATTGGAAGGCGAACGTGAAAGACGACGGCGCTTTTCCCATGGCAATTGTGGCAGGAAGCGCTGGTGTGTCGAACAGTGCTAACCGAGACCCATGCACGCCGATACCGCCGCCTTGGCGTATTTTTCGCGACGCGGGCAAATTGGCACTTGCATGCTGCACCCTCGTCTGCCGAGTTTACGCACCCTCGAGCCCAAGTGGCCGGCTCAACTGCTCGGCTATCGAGATGCGATCGAGCGTCGACCGAACCCAAACGTGCAGCGCTAGAGGCTGCGGTTGAGGGCAACGGTAATCCAAACGCAGCTTTGCGCTTTGCGCTTCGAGTGGACCCTGTTCTGACCGCCCCTCAAGCTCCGTCAAGGAGGAGTATTCAACCTTGACCTTGTCTCCGCATCACCACCAGCAAGAACCTTGTTCCACAACACACCATCATGTCGGCGCAAGATACATACGAGTGGCAGCAGACGGAGCGCGATGTGTGGACACGCACGTGTCTAGGACACGAGGCGTCGGCGTCGTTCAACGAGAACATCGCCTACGGCCACACGGAGCTCTCGGTGACAGCGACGTTCCGAGTGCATCATCCCGCCAGTTCGGGCATTGCCGGTACCGACCGGGAGCTGGATGATCTCGTGGCGCGCGTGCGCGACGCGTGGATTCGAACGCGATACCTACGACCCGAGGTGGCGGTCGAGATGACCACACACACGGATATATCGATGCCACAGAGATTCACCTACCGCGTGCTTCGCGATGAGGCATCGCTACGTCGGTGGGTGGAGCAGACCATGGTGGTGGTGAGGCTCGGTGAGCCCGGTGCAGAGAGCTTGGAAGAGGTGTGCGCGTACACGTACAACCGAGCCCTCCCAACGCCCGGTAAGCAGTCGATGCTCTACCTCATCCTTCCGCGCCTGGCGGACGAAAAGGATCGCAACGCCCACTTTGTCTGGAACGTCTCGCACGCGCTGGCCGACGGCGGCAGCATCTCGGAGCTGTACAACGTGCTTCTGCAGGCCATGATCGATGCTGCACCCTCGACCGATGGATCGGTGTACATTCCCTCGGACCACGAGCTGGATGTACTCCCACTCCTCCCACGAAGTGTGGTGGCGGCGTATCGCCAGCAGCACAAGCCGAGTGCGGCGGACGAGGAGGCGGCGGCCGAAACGGCTCGTGACAACCTGCGTCTGATCCAGGCCAAGATGAACGAGTCGCTGGCACTGCAGCCCGTAACCAACTGGACCACACGCAAGCACGAGACCATCTGCATCCGCCGGGATATCGAGGCGGACGACGCGCGCGAGCTGATCAAGTTCGGAAAGCACATCAAGTCGGGCGTGACGTACCTGGCGTCGGCAGCGACGGTGCTTGCGACGGCCGAGACGTTTCCGGAGCGCAAGGCTTCGAGCTCAGGCGCGCTGATGGGCATGGTGCGCAACGCTCGAAGGTGGATTTCCACCGAGACTGTCGAGGGTGCCACTGGCAACCGCACTCCCTTGGGTTCGGACGCTGTCTTTCTCTGGATCCCCGTCGACACGCAAAAGTCGCTCGAGCCCAGCTTTGATCGACTGCCTCAACTGGTTTCTCTCGCTGCACGCATCCGCAGCGAGCTGAACAAGCATCTGGTATCGCCGCACTGCATCTCGTCGTACCCCGTCGTTGCCGACTTTGCACAGGGGGCGCTGACGAACCACTGGGCCGAGATCGAAGTCGCCAACCGATCCGCGCACACTCCCAGCGCGGAGGAACTCGCCAAGATCATCGGACCTCAGGCACCTGGATTCTCTTCCGTAGGTGCGCTTCAGGTCCACAAGCGCTTTGAGCCTGTCTCTCCCTCTGCACGAGCGAGCGGGCTGTGGCTCGAGCGCACCGATGCTGCCCACCGCGGACGCCAGGTGAACGCCTCGCCGTGGATCAGCATGCTAATGATCGACGGCAAGATCAAACTTCAGCTCGGCTTTGATGCCAAGTTCCACGACGCCGTCAAGATGGAGCAGTGGATGCAGCGGACCTACGAGTGGCTGCTCGTGTGCGCCGCCGCCGCTTCCTCGTCGTCGTCCGCTAGCACCATGGCTCCCATCTCGGCTCGTCTGTGATTTTTTTCTTGTTTTTTGTTTTTTGTTTTTGCTTTGCGATGTTATTTAGTGTTTCCAGGTTTGGCNCACCATGGCTCCCATCTCGGCTCGTCTGTGATTTTTTTCTTGTTTTTTGTTTTTTGTTTTTGCTTTGCGATGTTATTTAGTGTTTCCAGGTTTGGCAGGTATATCTAATGTTTTCGAAAAGATGTGCGAGAGGCGTGCGGAAGACAGGTGTCAAAACCAGCAAGAGTCGCCGAGAAGCCGGGGCGGATGAGCAGTGTCATGCATGCTAGGCCGGCCAACCTCGGGTGTGACAGTTGAGAATCCGGTCAATTGGACGCGCGGCTTTTAGCGCCCGAATGCTGCCCGAGGAAGAAACAAACGCGCTAAATTTTTCGATTGTTCGGAAATTCGGCCGGACAGTGGTGGAGTGCCGGCCAAGAGAACGACGATAAGGCAAAGTGAGACAGGCGGCTGGAAGCATGCAGCCCAGCTCGGTTTGGGGGGTCCAACGTGCACTGTAGCGCCAAAGGAGCAAGACGAGCTTATCTGCCTCGTGATGCTCGGCTCACGATTGTTTGCACACACACCCCAGCCGAGTGCGCCTACCGATCCACTAGCAAGACATACACCGTCAACAACGCTGATAGCGGCGCGTGATCCGCTAGTGCAAATCCGCTCGCAAACATTGCGCCGACCCTAGCCGATGTGTGCGCACGACGCGCAACTCGGCGAGCAAGCTTGGAAGCAAAGGCAGCGTGCGTCGAGTCGCAATCCCAACCACTAGCGAGCGTCTGTTCCGCGGCTTTGACAAGGTCCCACCAGCTTGGAATCGGTGCTATCCTCCACGTTCACACGTAGCGCCGATCGAGTTTCGACCCGCGCTAAGGCCTCTTTGCTACACCCTCGATCAGCGTTGACAAGATTGAGCCTTGGCTGACTCAAGTCTCGAGCCCGGACACAGTTGGCATCGACAAACCACCTTGGCAGAACTGAGGGAAACGGAACGGTGTACGGGGTGTTTCGCATGGAAGATGCACGTCCGCTTTGGTACACAGCCGATCGGCGCACTGTGCATTCGGCTAGCATCGCCGCTCCGCCCACGACCATCATTCATCCAAGACACCCAGAAAAATTAAATCGCCCGGGTCTGGGTCGCCATTGATGCTTTTTTAGGTAGGCTGGGAATCGTTAGACTAGGTCCCCATGGCGCTTAGTGTGTGTGGTCGCCGGGCCGGAAGGAGCCGTTCGAAAAGCAGGGATCCCTGACATGCACCTCAGCTCCCCTGCGTTGAGCACCAAAGCCACCGCACTGTTCAACTGCATACCACCATCAGAAGATCGGCTTGCAGCGTTGCCTATCTTCGAAACTAGTGCACACGTTCGTCACTGTGAAAGACACCTCGACCTCGCGCAACCCATTTTGCCACCAGAACGCAACATCCTTGCGCTTGAAGGACTGGCAGGCAGACTGCATTGACTCGGCGGTGCGCAGACATTGCTACAGCGCCACTGCAAGCGGCCTCGACAAGTACGAAAGCACTTGTCAAAATCCGCTCCTTCTTTCCGACCTACCTTGACCACCGAACAGCCCAACTCGACGCTACACGATGGACGACAAGATTGCGCTGACGAGCAACGAAGGCGAGCGGCCGAGGATGAAGAAGGACTGGCGCTTCTGGACGATCTTTGCAGCGCTGATGCTGATTGCATTTCTGGCTGGTGCGTTGCTCGCCTTCCCGTCACCTTCTTGGGCATATGCTGACGTTTGGATTCTGTAGCGCTGGACATGACGATGATTTCGACGGCGCTGCCTGCGATTGTGGCTGCGCTACCACCTTCGTCGATCGCGGCCAACTGGGTGACCTCTGCATTCCTGCTACCCATGGTAGCGTCGCAGCCGATCTTTGGTGGGCTGAGCTGCTCGCTGGGACGCAAGAACTCGGTGAACGCTGCGCTGATCATCTTTCTGGTGGGATCGGTGGTGTGTGCGACTGCCAAGTCGATGCTGGTGCTGGTCGTCGGACGCGGTGTGCAGGGGTTGGGCGGTGGCGGTATCCACGCGCTGTCGGAGATCATCATGTCCGATCTCACCACGCTCCGCGAACGAGGCGTCTACTTTGGCCTGATCGCACTCGTGTTTGCAGTGGCAGGGTTCATTGCTCCCGTGCTGGGCGGAGTGTTTAGCCACTCGAATTGGCCGTGGATCTTTTGGATCAACTTGCCGATTGGAGCGGTGGCGCTGGTGATGCTGGTGCTCTTCCTCAACATCCGCGTGCCGTTGCTGACGGGAAGGCAGAAGTGGGAGAAGCTCGATCTGGTGGGCAACGCAATCTTGTTTGGATCGGTAACTGCCGTACTCATCGCCGTTACCGAGGGCGGCATCAAGTACCGTTGGTCAGACGCTCGAGTCTGGGTGCCCCTCGTCGTCGGCCTGATCGGACTGCTGGCGTTCTTGGTGGTGGAGTGGATTCCGGGACCGTTGTGTAGGCAGCCAGTGTTTCCGCGCGACCTGTTCGCCAACCGCACGGCCGCAGTTGCATACCTCCAAACCTTCCTGCACGGCGTCATCTTTTACGGCATCATCTACATGGTGCCTATCTACTTCCAGGCGATCAAAGACCGTACACCCCTCGAATCGGCAATTTGGTCCTTCCCCTTGACTGCACCCTCCACCCCGCTCGCGCTAATTGCCGGACTGCTCATCAGCATCTCGGGCCGGTATAAAAAGCTCATCTTTCTCGGATGGGCTTTGATGGCTGCAGGCGTCGGTTGGCTTACGCACTGGTCGGTGGGGACATCCAAAGCCGAGTGGGTCATCTCTCAAATCATCGCTGGTGCGGGCATTGGGATCATGTTCCCCATCACGCTGCCGCCCATTCAAGCCTCGCTACCGGTGGAGAGGCTGGAAGCAGCTACGGCCGCCTATGCCTTTTCGCGAACATTCGGTGCGGTGTGGGGGATTACGGGTGCAACAACGATCTTCGCCACGCAAGCAGCCAAGAACTTGCGACCGAGCTATGCACAGCTAAACCCGCTGGGTCTGGATGATTTCACGATAATCGCCTTTGCAGAGTCGCTCAGACATCTCCCGCAAGAGCTGCAGGTGCTGGTGAAGAAGGTCTATGCAGATGCCATTTCCGACTCGTTCTGGCTGTTTGTCCCGCTCGCCATCGTCGGATTCCTGTCCACCTTGCTGCTCAAGGATCTACCGCTGCCAGACTTTATCAAGAGCCAAGCCGTGCTCGAGGAGAAGAACGAGTCGAACAGCCAAAGCCCCTCGCCTCCGGAGTCGCTCGTTTGATCTTGCATCCCCATAGCATCGCACATCGTATATAGAAGGTCCGCACTTGTTTTTCGAACCCGAAGACTGTGCAGTGAGAAAAATAAGCCGAGCAAAGCACGTCACCAATCTGCAAGGTTTTCAGGCTCAACAAAGTCGCTTTGCCAAGGTCGTCAACACGAGCGCAGGAAAGGAGCGAAACGAGCCCGACACAGTGAACAGCATGCGGTCCGGTTACTGAGCAGCCACCGCAACGCACAAGTGAGCCATGTGCAAAGGTTTGAGCTGGCAAAACTCGTCAAGACTGCCGTAGCGTGTATGGCAAGAGACATGGTGGGGCCGTATCGGCCCTCTGAATGCCAAAGCCAAGCGCCAGGGAATGAGATCGCGGTTTCGAACAAGGCCAGCTCCCTCTTGCACTGTGTCCATTGCGGCGCTCCGCCCTGCGTGCACGAGAGTCAAATTTCGATACTTGCGCTGAGTTTGCTCTGCCAGAGTACAAACTGCAAAGGAATTAAAGATTCGTGCCTCAAAACCTCGTTACAACCGGGGGATGGTTACTGCACATGCTGGTACCTTCCAAACCCATCCCTGTGCGTGGCCTCCTTGTGCGTCATGAATCCCGAGAACCACACACCGCCACCCACATCGCCAAAAATCACCCAGCGATTGCGCTTCGACACGGCGATCTCCATATCCGTCCCGATCGCCACCGGCTTCACGCTCGAAGGGGGCGAAGCAGCCGCGCCGAAATCCACCTCGCCAAAGCGCGTCGAACGCCACTCGGTGCAGCCGGAGAGGTAGTGGTTGGGGCGTGCAAAGAAGATCAGTTTTCCCGAAGGCTTGGCCCACCGCGTGTGGCGGAGAAGCGTAACAATGTTCGCCTGCATGTTGGCGGGTTCGATCTGCGCGGTGAGCGAAGTGCGGATGTGCAGTGCCAACTGTCCCAGTGGCAGGGAAGCATAGTCTCCCGAAGCGAGGGGTTCCAGCGGCACACCCAGTGCTCCGCCCCATAGCTGGTGTGGAGGATAGTCGGAGGGATCGTGTCGAGCAGGCGGTCGCGTCTTGGCATTCACAATGGTCATGACGGTGCTCATGCGCTTGCGTTTCGGATTCGCCGCGTGGATGTTCTGCAGCAGCCACGCAAGCAGCACGTTGAACGTGCTGATCCGCGTATCGAGCGCCTGCTTCTCGCTGTCGTCCGACGCCGACACGAGCGCATCGACATCGGCACGCGCTTGCGCCATGAGTGCCTGCACTTTCTCCTCGGGCATGTACATGTAGTACTGGCCAAACTTCTTCTCTGGCCGCTTGATCTTGATGTCCGAAATCAAGTTCCAGGCGAGCCGCACCTTGTCGATGAATCCGTACTGGAAGAAACCCAGTGGCAAACCGACATCTCGCTCGCCCCGCTTGTCTGTGTCTTCGGACTTGCTGTTCTTGCCGTGCGGAGGGAGGTAGGTGATGAACGGGTCGACGCCGACACCCTGTAGCGGCGCAGGCGCGGCCGACTCGATAGTCTGCCGCCACGCCTCAAAAATCGCCTTGACGCTGAAGGCGTCTCCTGCGATATGGCTGAAGGCGAGCGCGATGGTGGTGGCGTCGCTCCAGACGGTAGCGTGCGCGGTGATGTAGGCCTGATCCGCGCCGATCAGCTGCTTTAGCGACGTCGTTGCATTGCAGCACGTCATCTTGAGGCTGTCGGCGTTGTCTGGCGCTGCGCCGACGCTGACCGTGTCTCTGCTGAGGCTCGACTCGATCGCCTTGGCTGCGATCGGATGAAAGCTCGCGATGGAGCGCGACGATGCATCTACGATCACGATGTGCTTTTCCAGATCCTTGTGCGTTGTGCGTGAGCGCTGTTCGAGCTCTTTGACCTTGTCCGGCTGCGGGATGAGGAAGGATAGGCCGGATGGCGTCGAGGGTGTGTGGCGGACGCGTGCGGCGAGGATCGGCCAAGCTCGCACGAGCTCGTACCAGGAATTTTGCAGGAGGGCGAGGGAGAGCTGCGTGGGAAAGGTGAGCGAGATGCGCGTCATGATGTCCGTGTTTCCGAGCGTGCTGTCGAGCACGGGAACGGCGACGGCATCGTAGCCCGGCATGTGCGGAGTAGCTGGCATGTTGTATTCGAACCCTTACAAGCTGGGCTGAGCGGGCGAGAGGGACGAGCGAATATGGTGGTGATTAGGAGCGTAGGTGGTGGCGTGGCGAGTACTTATCGACACCTGGTCGAGGCAAGGGCGGCACGGAATATGGAGATCGAATGCTGCGCATTGCTGATAGCGCCAAACTGTGCATCGAGCCCTTCCGACGGGGTGGAAAGGTGGGGCCGGAATTGGAGTGTCTCAGCGCTCCGCACTAAATTTGATGTTGCGGCCGAACCTGTCGTTGAGATGAATGCAGCCGGCTGTACGTTGCGTCTCGTCCGTGCACAAGTCTGCGGCGCTGCTCAGATTGATGCGAGCTTGATGCAAGACCCGTCAGTCGGCGTCGTGCTGTCGTGCTTTTGGGCTGGTGAAAGCTGCCGAGTGCATGAGTGCAGCGGTGGCGGCTGCAGATTCGGCTTCTTCGTTTGGAGGCTTCCGGAGGGTTTTTTAGGCGCCGCTCCAACTTTCATCTGGATTTCGTTTTCCCTTTTTCTGGGCCCAGCTGTTGGTGTTGCCGAGCGGCGGATCGACCGAGCTTGGTGTGGCGGCGCTGAATATCCTCGGATGCGGTTATCGGGCGCTCGATCTTACGGTGGTGCCGATCCATCCCCTCCTGCAGGTCGAGCTTCATCAGAGCGAGACGCTTCGAACCAGCGGGCATCTTGGAAGTGCGACTTCTTCTTGAGGTCCATTCGTCGCCGTTTCGCCTCGAGCATCGTAAAGCCGAGTTGGCGTGGTCCATCGCTTGATCCATCCGACGAGCAGCTCGACTCGCGATCCGAGGTGGATGCTTTCGATGGTGGAGGGCTGGGTGACGACGAGATGATGATGACTTCGCGGGCGGTGACGTTCGGGGGTAAGCGTGGTGGTGGTGCAGGGCGAGAGTTGCGTGAGGGTGATGTTGACGGCGAGATGGACACGATAGACGGCGACGAGAATGTCAGCGATGTCAGCGACGAGCTGCGTGAGTGCGTGGCTTCCCCCGCTGCATCAACGGTCTGTTCTGAGCGATTAGGACCCGTGCCGCATGATTGATTCGATGCAGACGCAGCAGCTGCTGCAGCTAGCGTTCTTGCCCTTGCCTCTCGGCCCCCAACTGACCTTGTTGCCAATCCGCCTCTTCCGCGTCCTCGGACTCGACCTCGACCCCGACCCCGACCTCGCAAGCCGCTGGCTGCAGTGCGTTCAGTAGACGAGCTCATGCTCAAATGCTCAAGATCGCTTCGGCTGCGCCGCACTCGACCCACTTCCGCAACAGCACATGGTGGTGGCAAGTCACAAAACTCCCACGCCTCTTCCTTCCTTCCATCTCGGCTTGACCCCACCAACTTTCCACATGATTCAATGTGATTATACGCCGAGCGATCCGTGCTGTCCTTCGAAGCTTCTCCTACCGAATCACACTCATTCACACGACGCACATCCAAACTCGCCGGCATCCTTCTGGCATTCACAACAGCTTTCGGCACGAGGCTCCCTTTGTCCCGTCACCACATCTCCGACTCTTCGACCTTCTCGTGAGCCACCACCGCGCGCACCACATCGCCGATCGCAGCGTCGGCAAACTCCACAAAGTACAGATCCGGCACCGCCACCCTCTGCGCCCTCTCGCGGATCCACTCGACGTCGCTCTGCTGCCACCCTTCCACCATGCTCTTGAGCTCCACTAGCCACGCCTCGCTCTCGTCAGGCAGCTCGGCAACGAATACCAGCTTGGCCGCAAGATCAATGCAGTGACTCCGCACCAGCATCTGGCTCGTCGCGTCCGGTCCCCGCTCTCCATGCCATCCACCCACCGCCGTCGCAATCAGGCCTCGCTGCTTGGTGGGACATCCCATCGCCGCTTGGTGCAGCCGCTCCATCTCCTCGTGGCAAGGCACCGCTTGCGCCACCAGCGCTTCGATGTGCTCCATCAGCGCCCGACCAAACTCGCGGCATTGCCGTGCAAGTTCCGACGCTGCAACTGCCTCGTCACACGACGGATACGGCAGCAGCCACAGCCGGTATTCAATCAAAGTGCTCGGCAGCCTGGCCGGTCGCCGAGCGGAATTGCGCTGCCACTCTGGTGTGCGCAGGGCATCGATCCTCTCCACAATCCTCGCCAGCACCGGCCGCGCGCACTGCGTCCAGGCGCGCATCTGTGCGACCGCTTTCCGCGCGCTATCCCTCGGCGGCGGAGCTAGCGCTTGCAGCACATAGCCAAGCGTCCTCAAGTCGACGCTTTCCGACTCCAGAATGACCCTGAACGCTTCCAGCACCACTCGGGCAGCAGCATCGATGCTCTCGGTGCGGCTTCGCACCATCTCTTCCACATCGACGTCATCGGGCGCGCCTTCCGTAAGGCTCTGGACAAACGACGAAAGGAACGGCAACGACTCTAGCTGTCTACCGTGTGAGGACGACGATATCGCCGGCGTCTCGTATACGGACAACCAATGCCTCGCGGCATTGCCCACTGTCTGCTTGAGAGCATGGTTGATCTCGCGCACTTTGGCTTTCGGACGCATGATAGCCCGCAGATAGTCGCAGTATAGCTGCACGATCCAATCGGGCGTCAAGTACGCGTGTTCCCGCACCAGCCTCTTCAGGATATCCACCTTGACCGGGGGCACCGGCAGCGCCACACTCTCAGTCGATGCGTCGTGCTCGCGCAGAAAGCGATCCAGCCATCGTTGGTGCAGTTCGATCGACTGCTCGATCGCAGGAACCACCACCGTCTGCATCAGCACCGGAGCCCACGCCTTGTAGGCCGAGAGTGCGTTCATCACCGGCTCCCAAGTTCGCGGCAGTTGGCGCATCCCCATCAGATCTCTACGAGCCATCGTTGGGCCCTCGCAGATGTGCGGCAGCGCTCCTTCTGCCCATGGCAGAGCCGATCCCTCCGGTCGCGTCTCGTCCAGCGCAGCCAAGATAGGTACCAGTCTCTGCAACCCGCTTCGCAGCGCTTTCGATACCGCATCCGAAGGGCTTGGTCGCCCGCAACAAGATGCGAGCAACGCCTCCAGGGCGGCGTGGCGGATGTCGGCGTGTTTGGCACGATCCAGCAGCTGCATCAGGATGTCGATAGCGTCCGACGGATCGACATACTCCGCTTTTTCCATGGCTTGGGCAAGCAACCTGACCGTCGAGACCTTGATGCTCGGACCGCTCGTGTTCGGCTGCGTGCTGGGCACGCCAGTGCGGGCGAGGATCTCGCCAGCCAGGCCCTGCACCGCATCCCGGGCGTCTTCTGCGGAGAGTCTTTCCAGGAATCCTTTCGAGAAGAGAATGCGGTGCCACGAGCTGTCGTCTCTGTTCTCGAGCACGATCTTGAGCACCAGTGGCAGCGCCTCGCTCGGTCTGTCGCCGGCTTGCAAGCACAGCACGAGGTCAAGAGCCAGATGCGACGTCTTTGGCAAGCGCCCGTCTGCTCGCGCAGCGAGTGCTCTTTCGGCCAGGCATCGCAAGAGTGTTGGCGGTGCGGTGCTCAACACGGGCCTTAGCCACTGTCGCACGTCTTGGTCCAGATCCAGCTTCGACTCGGGAGTCTTCAGGGATGCTTCTCTTAGCACCAGTTGCGGGTATCGGACCTCGCTCTGAATGGGGAACGGCAGTTCCAAAGTGTTGCCATCAGGGCAGTTGTGGTCCAGCAGGAGCAGACGCAACGCAGCATGCGCCTCCACAAAGCTCCGCACGGTCTCCCTAGGCTGACTGCGCCGGTCGGGAGCGACGATGCCCGCCTTCAACGCTTGTACAGCTTGCCTTCGCTTCTCCAGCGCGTCGCTGCGATTCCAGCTACGCTTCTCCGAAGCAGAGGCAGACCGACGGAGGCTGCCGTCTTGAAGCCCGTCAAGCACGTCCTGGCCGATCATGGTGTCGAGGACAGTCATGGGTGCCTTTTGTGAGCGCTTGGGGGCTTGCACCAAGAGAGCGTTCGGAGCCCATGTCACAGCGTCCGGTGCAGGCGCGTCTGGCAACTGCAGAGCTGGGACGCGTTGAGCGAATCTTTGTGGGTCTGGAAAGATCCTTTGGCGGGCGGCAGGCTCAAAGACCTCTGTCAACCACCACGTTTCCGCTTCGACGCGCGAGAGCCTCGGGTCTGCAAGCTTGCGAGTAGCGTGCAGCCACGCCTCCCGCATGAGTCGAAGCTTTGCAGCTTGGCCCTGTTCAGCCTTGAGCAGCAGGAGCAATGCGAAAGACCAGTCCTCGTGGTATTCCCCGATGGCATCCAGTGTCTCCTCGTCGTCGGGAAGCGGCTGCATGACTGTTTGAGGGTCGGCGAACACGATGGATCGCGCTGTTTGTATCAAGGGGCTTGCGGCAGCTTGAGGAAGGACGTCGTCCAAGCTCCACATGGCTGGAGCCACATGAAGCGGGAGGCCTTGAGGAATGCCTCGAGGCAGGCTCGCTACGGAAGGGTTGAATGAGATCCGATGGGATTTCCACAACGCATCTCTGGCGGCATGAAGTTTCTCAACGAAGGAGAGACCGGCGATGGAGCGGACGTGGATACCAGGCGACGAGCGTGCGTAGCCGTCGGCATGCTTGGCGAGTGGACCGGCGATGTCGTACAGCTCGAGTCGACGGAAGGAGGGGTCGATGCACATCTCTTCGATTCGGATCAAGAGGCTGACCGTGTCATCCCATACAAGCGCAAAGACCTGATCCGCGTCAAAAGCCAAGCGAGCCTGCAAACGCTCGAGCCTACGCATGCGCTCGATGATGACGGGACGGATGATCGAGCTGGCACCCGAGAAGTCGCTTGCTTTGAAGCTGGGTTCAGGAGCGGCTGCGCGCACAATCTCGAACCACTCCCAGATGGCGCGGTTGGCTTGGGCGATGTCGTCGCGCAGCACGTCGGCCGTCAGCGAGGCATCGGGCCGCTGCGGAATTCCTGAGAGCAGCGAGATGGCCTCCTTGGTATGGACGGACCACGGCGTGAAGAGGGAACGGGCGACATGGACGTCGCGAACGAAGCGGTGCATCCACACGACGGTATCGGTATAGACTTGGTACGAACGGCTGCAGGTGGCCCAGCTGAGAGCCTGACGCGCCAGAGTCTCGCGATCGGCGGGCTCGGGGCTGTTTGCGATCTTGCGCTTGCATTCTTCAATAGCATCGTTTGCGCACTTGGATCGCTCTTGCGCGTCGATGGAAGGATCGAGCTCGAGGCGAGCCATGTCGAAATCGACAAAGCCACTCGCCGAGCCAAAGTTGAGGATGGAGATGCCCGATGAGCCGCCCATGGAGACCACTTGATCGCGTGGCAAGTGAGCGCCGAGCCGTTCCAGCAAATTGAGAGCCTGGTGTGAGGGAAGTGCCTGAAAGATAGAAAAGGGCCACCGCCTGGCGTTGCGATGGGTGAGGAGCTCCTTGAGTCCAGCATCCTGGTCGAGGTCGATCGGACAGGCGGTGTCTGTGCTCTGGATGAGCTTGAGCAGCTCCCATCTCTTGTCCGATGGGACGCTTGCTTGAAGCTGCGAAAAGGACAAGTAGGACGGAGATCGAGAAGCCATGTTGAGAGTACGAACAAGGACGGGTTGGAAGAGCTCGGTCGATTCGGCCCAGAGCTGCGCCGCTTGCTTCCACAGAGCATTTCTGACGCTGTAATGGTCTCTGGAGTGGTTTTGTAGGGTATCGAGGATGAGGTCAAATGCAGCGCGGCGATCGTGCAGCGACCAATGAGGACAGGCGACGAGCCTGTGGAGAAGGTTGGAAAGCGGGTCGGCATACTTCTGCCTGACTCTGCGAAGCGAACTGGAGGATGTGGGAGGTTGTTTGACAAGGCTGGAGAGAGCCCGTGAGAGGAATGGCGTCACCGAGGCAAAGTCGTGCTGACCAGCGGCGGGAAAGACGACAGCGTAGACCACCTCCAGCCGATGCGAAGCGTGATCCGCCCAGTTGGACTCGAAGATGTTGGATCCAGGCTGCGAGGCGCGATCAAGGAAAACCTGATGGTGTTCTCGAAGCAGAGTGGCCTGAGGACCGTGAAGGGGCACAACGTGCGCGGCATCGAAGAGCACGCGATGCACCAATTCGGGTGTGCACGCAGACAAGAGATCAGCGTAGGCTTTGATGAGGTCGCGCTTTTCTGGAAAGCTTCCAGCTTGGGTCGAGGCTTGGTAGGAGGGTGATCGAAGCGAGGGGACGAGGTGGAGGAGCAGCTCTGAGACGGCCTGCCTCTTTTGCGCCTTGAGATGACCGTCGATGCCCTTGACGTTGCGTCCGATCGCCTTTGTCGCCTGGCGGATGTGATAGACAGAGAAGCGTGAGAGCAGCTGAGCGATGCCCTCGGTCGAGCCGAGCGCGTCCCAGGTCGCCCTCCAGTGGCTGCCTCTCAGAATGCTCGCGAGTCGGCGGATGGCTTCGCTTCGGAGCCATGCCGAGTGGTTCTGATGGAGTGCCTCGCGAAGAGTATTGGGATCGCGCGCCGTCTCGAGCCAGATGCGCGAGATGGTCGGCGGCACAGCATCGATTGTGATGAGGCGGAGCACCGAGCGCCTCACAGCTGGCTCGGGATGCATCCGCAGCTGGTCGCGCAGGTACTCCACCACGTCCGCATTCGAGGCGCGACTGAGCAGCTGTACGTCCAGACGCACCAAAATTTCCGGGACGGTCATCGTTGTCAGCTCGTTGCGGAACAGCCGACCGACTGTCGACCTGGTTGGTGAGGATGATGGGGATGATGGGAAAGACGAAACCTGACTGCTGCGCTCGGATCATCTGGTCAGGCTCTCTCCCTCACAAAAATGGCTGAGTCGGCCGCGCAGCTGCTGAGCTTGAAAATTCCCAAAAGTCACACACCTGCATCCGAGTTCCCGTCCGAACGGCTGTCAACCTGTCAAAAGCACCCTCGCCTGTCTCGGAACGGCTCAGCCGCCAACCTCCTCGAGTCACACTTCCATCACGGCCGTCCCCATCCGACAGCACATCGGTCGAACGGTGATCGTCGCACATGTATTAGTAGAGCCTAGTGGTGATCTGCACAGTCAATGCAAGCGGGAAGCGTGGATCTAGCACTTGAGCGTCGAGCCAACGCCGTTGATGCCAAAGTTGCCGAGCAAATTAGTGATGGGTGTCGGGAAGAATCCCAGCACAGCATTACCTGCCGCACAGACAAGCTGGCCCAATGTAGCACCGGAGGTCTTGGGATCGATGAGCGAGCGCAGCTCCTGGTACGCAGCGTCGGTGGTGGGCAGAGGCACAAACGCACCCTTCTTGCCCACGCTCCAGCCAGGGATGGTCGGTTTGGCAAGCTCGATGATGCCGGCCCAAGCAAGGATCTCGGGCGTGGATACAGGTACGAGTCGCTTGCTCCAGCCTTCGGGGAAGCGCTCGTGGAGGAACCAGCTCCTGATCATGCACTCGTCGAACTTGGCCGACGAACCTCGAAGCGCCTCGTGCACAAATCCACTCTCGCCGTACGCAACCAACATGCGCCACGGATTAAAGTCGAAGTCCGGATTGTTTTGACGGCTCGAATCCCAAGCACGATAGCGAGAGTGGGCAAGAGAGATGACGTCCACATTGCCGTTGCCGTAGGTGTTGGTCTCGTTGATAAACTGAGCCACTAGTTGCGGGTCTGCTTCCCAGCTGTTTCCAAAGTAGTGGTCTTTGCGAGTCACCGATCCATCGCCTTCCATAATGCCATGGTGACTAAGTCCACTTCCAAGACCGTACCGATCTCCGATGGAGAGCTTCATCTGCAGCAAGTCGCCCATACCCACAAACGCGATTCCCGCAAGGATGGCTGCCAGATCCGGACTCAGATTGAGCCCGTTGAACGTGCCGACGAGCAGCTCGATTGGATTCACCACTCCGCTTCGGGGGATATAGCCGTGGTTCGCAATGGTGTTGAGACCGGGACAAGGACCTCGCTTGGCTCCCGCTGGCGGTGGCTGCCAGGGGTGTGCAGCATCCTCAGCGGGTGGAAGCAGCCCACCATCGCGTCGCACCCCGAACGTCGAGTAGATCTTGTCCGCAGTGATGTCGGTGATCTTGGTGTTGAGAAGCTCGCCGGCATCGTTCACTTTGGCCTCTTTGGTCAGCTCCTCCACCTTGCTCTTGAGGTCGCTGATCAGGTTGCCCAGCTGAAACGGGTCTGCGGAGAGCAGACGCTTTTCAAAGTGCGACGGTGCGCCGTCAGGGCCGGGAGCCATCATGGCGCCGATGTTGGGGAACGCCAGCGTCTGTGTCACCACGGAAGCGGCTGATGCCAAAAGGACGAGATTGACAGAGACCTTCATGCTGAGAATTGAAACCTCGTTGATGGGGAGCGAGGGCAGGACCGAGTCAGGACAGGAAAATTGTGTCGATAGCGATGGCTGGGGAGAAGCTGGGAAAGCGAAGGCAAGCGCAGACTTTATATCTTGCGAGCAGAAGTCTCATCGCAGACGCTCGCTCAAGCACCCTCCATCGTCAAGCGGGCAGGCATGGTGGCTGTGTCGACTGACTCTAGATCCGACAAAGTCAAGGAGATTGTTCTCGAGCCTGGAAGGATCGCTGTGCTCGACATGATGCGGTCATTGAAGATACAATAGCAGGATCCGAGCTGCTATGATCGTGTCAACAGTATCAATCTAGG